TCAAGTTAATATCTGTAGGCTTAGAATAATCTAATTATTTATAATATGACAAATGGTTTTTTATACATGTATTCACATGATATGTATTGACTTATTTTTGTTTTAATTGGGCGGTAATTTATGATGGAGTGCGATATTGCGCAATAATTATAATTGAGTTTTTTTGTTTGAAAATATAGTTTTACCATATTTTATGAAAAAAATTGTAAAAAGCGTAAAAAAATTCTTTTGTTGAATTTTTTGAAAATATAGCTCATGCTAGAACGAAAAACGTGTAACTTTAAATTGTACATTACATACTTAATTTGAATTTTCACAAAAATTTTGAGAGTATGGTAACTAGTTTCTGAAGCTCTAATTTAATGTATCAAAAGAGCTCAAGTCCAATATTGTTTTTTAACAAAAGTCAAGCGATATACGATATAAATAAATTTAAATTTTCAATTTCCAGCGTTTTGTTGACCTCTTCTATAATTTTTTGCTATAAAAAGTTTAAATACAGCTTTTTGAGAGAAATACCAAAATATTATATAATAATAATAATAAAGTATAATAAAATCATATACAAAACAAGAAAAAATGTTAACTTAGGTTGCACCGAAACTTTAGTACAATTCACAAATACAAAGGTTCCTTACCAGAACTTGATTCCAATCGTTCAATTAGTATGGCAGCTGTATGATATAGTGATCTGATCTGAACAATTTCTCCGGATATTACATTGTTGCCATAGACAATAATATGTGCCTAATTTGCTGAAGATACCTCGTGAAATGAAGTGAAGAGTTTTCCATACAAGCACTTGATTCCGATTGTTCAGTTTGTATATCTTCAAAACTGTGGCCATAGTTCATGTATATACAGATGAACATGGCTAAATCGACTCAGCTCGTTACATTGATCCTTTTTCCTTTTTAAGTGTTACAAACCCTGTTCAGGGTATACAACTTTATGGTGATTTTAATTTATCGTTTTTGGGATAGATTTTTAATGACATTTGATTACTTTGCTAATATACAAAATATTCAAGTTTGATTACACAATTTATATGTCTAAGTCGGTAATAAAAAAGTTTGTCATTTCAAATTCATACCCTTGGCGAAAATACAATATTTCAAAAGAAAAAATCAAATTCATGCAAACAAATAACATTCATTTACTTATGTCAAAAACATTCATTCAAACCATCAAAATACACATACAAACTTGCATACAATCTAAATGACTTTCAATTTATGATGGCCCTCAGGCAAGAGATTTCGCAACGAGCAACTTGTTGAATGTTATCATCATGCCCCGGCCGAAAGCTGCCGAATTTTCATGCTGGCGGCTTAACGTCAGCAGCTATAAATTGATATAATTTGCATATTCCACAGTTGACAGTTTTAAGCTCACCTTTTCATATCAGCGACGTTGTTATGTTGTTGTTGCCGTTTGAAATTTCACGTACATTTTAAAAGTACCACGCAGAGAGACGGTGAGAGAGGAAGGCTACAGAGGAAAACATAAACATTTTGTTATCAAAATCAGCACTTGCTTCTACATTTCTTTACACACATATATGTATGTATGTATGTACCATATGTACATGTGGATTGGTGTATTTATGTGTTTCTGCTAAATTTGCGCAGTGATTAACTTTTCCGGCTGTCTCATTGGTGGTACAACCCCACTTTGTCTAATCTGTTCACACTCTCATCCGTCATAACTCAATACTTACATCGTTGCTGTTATTACCCCCACACCTCTTCCCCTGTCATGTAATTCAGCATTCAACATCGTGCAAATGTTTTTATCAAATCAAGCAACATGTCAGCGTTTTGATGAGTCGTGTCTTTCCGGACAGTTGAACATTACTTAGGCGCATACAAATTGGGAGCGTGATTTTGTTAAAGTGGATTTCAATAGATCTCGCTTATGGCATACACATACAAATTTAGGCTTAAGAAAAAATAAAAGTATTATGGATTTGTAACTTCAAATTTTTAGAGGCGATGACTCTGTGCAATTTATATATATTATATAACTTTGAAAGAGACAGATTCTTGGTTCCAAAGTAATCATGATATTATATTTACATATTTTCTATAAAAAACTATTATATTTGAGGTTACGCTTAAAAAAATATTGAAAATATAAAAATAATAATTATAACAAAAATTGAAAATTGTCAACTGACATTTTTTTTTTGTAATTTGGAAATTTACCTTTCTATAACTAAATCCATGGACTTAGTTTTCATACAATATTTCAAAAAAAATCATTTTGGATATCCAATTAGTTATGTTATTCAATATATTTATCAATTTTGGCAACATTAATAGTTGTATAACAGATATTTGAGTAGTTTTACAGTTGTGTTGCTAACATTTATTATCTACATATATATAAACAAAAACAGGTAAAACCGTTAACTTCGGTTGCCCTTCACACATAAAAATAATCCATACAAGAACTTGATCTTGATCGTTTAGTTTGTATGGTAACTATATGCTATAGTGGTCTTATCTGAGCAATTTATTAAAAGATTTTACCGTTATCTCGAATTTTATAAAGTTATCTCGTCAAACAATAAAACTTTCTTTACAAGAACTTGATTTTGATCGTTCAGTTTGTATGACAGGTGATCAGACATCGACGGTTTCGACAAATGAGTAACTTCTTGCGGAGAAAAGGACATGTGCACAATTTCAGATCGGTATCTCAAACACTGAAGGACAGACGGAAAAACTAACATGGGTAAATCGTCCTCTCAACACGCTTTTTGTAAATTCTCACCATTATTAGTTATAAAAAGTTACATTTTAATGAAATGTATGCAGCATATCGTTCAAAATTATAAACCCTGGCATATATGTTTTTCGGATAATATCCCTTAAAGTTTTTGTGGCGCTATAACTAATTATAACAATGTTTATTTCATATAATACAAGTATATGTAAGAACCTGTTCTGAATCACAAATCGACTATGCTTTTTAAATTGCATATGTGTTTGTATGTATTTATGGCACCCTGGTTTGCATATAATAACGAGTAATAATTGAGCAACATAAACAAAAATTGTAAATTTATATGTATTTATATTGATATATATATGTATGTATTTCAAATATATAAAAGAACCCACAATTATATTTTCGGAGGCTTGTCTTTTCCTTTGTTTTAACCACGGCTTTGTACCAATAACATATTTAAGCACAATTAAACTTATTTAATTTTAAACATTATCTTTGCTTTCAAGTAAATTTACTACAATTTCGTATAATACTTTTCACAGTTGAAAAATTTGGCCTACCCTGTAATACACCCTCCACAAGTGCCAATATTATTGTATATACTCTTATTTTCATTCTTCCTCTTTTTACTTTTCATTCATTATATTGCTTATAAAGAGGAAATAAGAAGCAAAAATAAAAATATTTTATTTTGTAAGCGTTTTTCGCAGTTATTATAGCCTATAAATCTGTTTCTTATCTTGACTCCACACATTTCACTCTCCCATATCGCTGGAGTCTCTGTGTAAGTCGCTTGTGAAACGAAAAATAAAATAATGAATTGAAATATTTATTGACGCGACGCACAGCAACTAAAGAAAACGCAGAAAGCTGGCGGCAGCAAACTCTTTACAGTCAGAACTGAAAATATGTAATTGTAACCTTAGTCTTTGATCGAAGATTCTATTTCGATTTCGGTTCTCATTAAACATTTTTATATTCTAAACAGGGTATGTTAAGTTTGCCACGAAGTTTGTAACAACCAGAAGGAAACGTCGGAGACTATAAAATATATAAATATGTACATGAACAACGTGCCGAGTTGAGCTGATTCACTGTATCACTGTAGCATATAGCTGTCATACAAACTGAACGACCAAAATAAAGTTCTTGTTTGTAAAACGTTTTAGTTGACAAGATATCTTCACAAAATTTGACATGAATTATTCTTTAAAGCAACGGTACAATATCCGAATAAAGAGTTCAGATCGAACCACTATAGCATGTAGCTGCCAAATCGAAATTAAGTTTTGGTATGAAATTTTTTTTCTTTGTGAAGGGTAAGTTAATACTTTTTCCTGTTTTATTTTTATTTTAGTGTAAAATATTTTTTAGTTTTAATAATTATTTATCTCATTCTTAAGGCTTTTGAGAAAATGTTGAATGAGTTTACTCATTTCTAAATGTTTATGGGATTTTTTTTTAATTAGGGTTCGACTATCATTTCGGTATCGCTCAGACACTTGCCTATACATTTATTTTTATTTTCGTAGTCTTACTTCTGCACACATATATATGTAGACATATACATATGTACATGTATTTATAAACATAACCCTTAGCGAGCGCCAAAGTTTGCCGAATCGATTGTTAAATTATTTTAGTTTTGCTTTTGTCTTTTCCTATTTTCTTGGATGAGTTCATTCAGCAAATTTTTGGACTTATATTGTTGTTGTTGTTTTTTACGGTGTGGTGACCGGCGACCAACTGATTTGGTGCCAGTGAGTCTGACGTTGATTGCGGTGCTCAGTTCACGCACAGTCGAGCAAAAACACCAAGTACCCAGTCACATACAGTTATGTACATATAGATATAGATATACATATATACCTTTGCATACACTCGTAACAACGGCTCTCGACGAATCACGAACCTCGTTTGAATTATGAAAATTTTAATAAATTTTATTAAAGCTATAAAAAGTCAGTAAAGAATGCGAAAGTAATAACAAATAGTGAGGGAAAATTAAATTGAACGGATGCAAAGTGAAGCTACATACATATATAGGTACTGAAATAAAAAACAACAACAACTAAAAATATATCTAGTGAGCGGAAGTGTTGAGTACTGTAAATTTTAAATTTAGTGGCGTGTTTTATTTATTAAAAATATTAATAATTGAGAAATTTGTAAATATTAATAGTTTATTTACATATGTATGTCTGTATGTATGTATGTATGTGTGCTTACATTTAAATAAATAATTAAATATTTTATGCATATAGGATAGCATAAAACCGCACTAAACGCAAAAAGGTAAAAATACAAGAAGAATACATATGTATTCCAACACATACATATAAATTACTACATGAGTGCCAGAATTGCTAACCAGGCAATGCAGAAGTGAAAATTAAATTTAAAAAAAACCTAAAATCAATAAGTGAAAAAATTATTATAACTAGAAAAAATTCAAATATTGCAACACTAAAATATCCAGCCGCTATTAAGCAATAGCCACCAACAACAAATAATTGAAAATCGTCGGTTTCAGCTCAAATAGCTTTCCCGTCTCTGGCGCTATCCAAACAAGGAAGCGAGAGTGAAACCGCTGACCAAAATAGTCAGCATTAATATGAAATAAGTTATAAAATAAAAGTAAAGCGCAATAACAAAGTCATAATAGCTTTGAAAGTGAAAACATTTAGCCACTAATCACATACGTATATGTCAAATTAATCCAAATATCAAAACCAAAAATTTTACAAAACAAAAAAATAAAAAATAAATAAAAATCTCACTAACCGGTGATTAATGCTACCAACATTAGTTTATTAGTTAAAATAAAAATTAAAAATAAAACAAGCATCTATAGCAAATACCTTCAAAGAAACCCAAAAGCAACAAAATGCTGAAAATTCACATGCTGGAGCAGGTGGTGAATACGGAGAGTCCGCAGGATAACGCGCCACTGCCGAAAATGTCCTCCTCCACTTCGACATCACCGAAGCGCAGCGGCAGTGGCAGCGCTTGCAGCAGCAATGGACGCACTCCGACCGCCTCGGCTTCGTCATCACCGTTACATCATCATCCGGTGCCGGGCGTGCCACAGCGTCAAATATGCGGCAGCAGCGGCAGTGTAAAGTCGGTGGGACGTGGTTCGTCACCAGGGTAGGTTGAAGCTAATTAAATTTCTAATAATTATGCTTAGCTGAAATAACAATTTAAATCTTTTTTGATTTTTTTGTAGTGTATAAAAATTTAGAATCCTAATAAGCAGACCCTGCTTATTCAGTAAACAAATAATTAATTTTATTATATATTATTGTGTAGAACTGAGGTCTGTTCATGATATTCTAACCTAACATTTGTAAAGGATAAGTTTCAGAAATACTCGTGTTTATTTATTTGAAAATTTATAGCATACCTTAAGTGTGATTTGCTGAAATTTAGGGGGTAGTAAATACTTTGTTAACTTCTCCCAACAAATTAAATCCTTACATCTATTTTGCCGATATTGCCTGGTACAAAAAGGTCTTTGGATTTCCATCGAATAAAAAATTCTTCAAACGCTTTTTTATTAAAAGTATATAAGCCGTTGTCACTAAGTGGTTCCACTGTATGAGAAAGGGATCTAATAGCTAATATTTCCATTTATTTCGAGTGATTGGTACAAAGAAGTTCCGTGTATGTGTTTCGAATACAATACAGCACTGTATCACTGTATTGAGAAAGTTTAGCTAATGGCTAATATTTCCGATCTTTCTAATATCTGATACAAACCAGTTATAGAAGAATGAAATAGTTTTCATTATCTCTTAATATTGTTGTTGTAATGAGATTTCGGGTAGTATAATACATACATAAATATATGCTGTTAAGTAGGTCCGACGGTAACAAGAAGGGGTAGGGTTTTTAAATCTTTACATTTTATAACAATATATTTTGGGAGTGGAATGTCCTCAGCTGAGTATAAAAATATATCACATCTTAAAACACTTCGTCATATAGGTTATCCCAGATAAAAACAAAGAAAAGGAGTTCGTTCCTTTGAAGTACTCAACACTTTTATATTTTTCGATTAGATCTAGCAGCTCACTTATTATTCAATCAGGCAACGACAAATCTCCGAACAAGTTGTTTAGATCGGACTAATATAGCATATAGCTGCCATATAAACTGATCGATCAAAATCATGTACTTGTACTTTTGAATTTGAAATTTGGCATGGATTATTGTTAAAAGCAACAGTATAATCTATTTTTTCTTCTCCTAAAGATTTATCAACGTATATATTCGTTACTCAGTGAAAAATAGTGTTTATCCCCAGGGCTTATTCGTCACCGAGTTTCCAAGATTTACTGATTCGTTTTTGAGAATCATGATTTAGTTTTTACACAAGGTTTTAACTCATAACACAAGTTTACAGTCTCGTTTCCCGTATTATCTTTTAAAAGAGGAAACTCATAGAATTCGAAGCTCAGCTAAGCTAAACGTTATCTAACTCGAAAACCTCAAATGGTTCCATAGTCTTGTGTGGCTAAACGTCGAAATCGGAAGTGATAATACTTACTCCATGAACTTAAAATTTAAGTCCATATTTTTTGCTTATAACGCAAGATATGAAATAAATTAGGTGTCGCAAGTCGTCCGCGAAGGCTTCGCGTTCAAATTATGATGTGTATTGCTGCGTCGGATTTGAGAGTACTTTATCGATAAATTATTATATTCCTTAAATACTCTAAATAAGCTACAAGGATGACCGTACTTTAAGCCTTAATGTTTCCTTCACGAATCCACTTATCTCATTTGCCACAGCTACAAAGGTTTTACACTCTTCTTTCGAGAAAATTTAACTTTGTAATTCCGAAAGTGCTTCGTAAAAATGGCTTCTAATTAAACATTTGCTTAATACGTGCATTTTGTCATTTTATTAGTTGCGCATGCGCATACCAAGCTTTAACGGACCGCATGTCCTCTAAAATCACGGCAATAAAAAAATAATAAAAAACTTAATCACACCAATAAGAGCGCCGGCCATATGAAGCAAATGAACACCCAAGCGTACCATTTTATTAACGCGGCCGCTTGTTTGTTGCCTTATTGCATTCCACTACCGCTCGTAATTCAACACAAGTTGGCGTTTTGCTATTTTCATTTCGCGCTTTTTGCTGCCATTTGTGCAATTTGAGCTGTGAAATTGTGTTGTGAAGTGCGCGCCTGCACGTCTCGCTCATCGCACCGAACTGTGAAGGCAAATTCGTACGCGCGCCGTCGCGACTGCCGTTTTTGCGTTGTAGACAAACACGGCTTTGATGCTACGGTTTTTATTTCATTTACCTATGGCTTGAGTATACGGTGTGGTTGCTTTTGTTTTTACGGCATATTACCGTTGTTTCGTTGGTCAATGCACCAGGCTGAGTTGTCGTGCTGACGCCGGCAGCGTACGACGGTGGCTAATTCACGCGCGCTCTCTCGCTGCGCTTACCAAGCTAATCAATGGAGTTCCTCGAGTGGAAAGTGTAGCGCAAAGCAAAAACAAACAAAAATTGTTTTCCTATTGTCATTCAGCGTATATTATATTTTGTTTCACGCTCATAATGTTATTAAACTAACCAATAAACTATGTAACGGCATTAATAGTGGATAAGGAAATAAAAAAATCAAGTGATTTGTCATGAGAACAAGGCACACAGGTACATATAAGTATATGTACATATATAGTAGATATTGCGCTTGGTTTGAGGCAATGGGAAGTGAAATATGAACGGTTCGTCTTGTGCGATTTACTCCAGCGGAAAAAGCGATTTGCGGTTGCGAAGCTTGAAAGCGAATCTGCTTTGTTAATGTGCGTTATACAGATTTCATTTGAAATTGATCTTTGCTCCATATCTTGCACCAATAAGGCTAGAAACATTTTGAGCTTATAGTTAAATATATATCTCTAAACTCTTTGATAAAATCGTATCCATATTTTTTCCACGCAAAAGATGCGGACATAAGGATGCTAAGTTTTCAAAACTTTTGAGAGACTATTCTAAACCAATGCTTTCAACAGTCGGAAAGCTCATCTATAGCTGACTACAGGATGTCCCTAAATACGCTAAACAAATAACGATCAGTGACTCTGATTTCAATTCATGACACTCTTATGGCGAGTACTAGTCTTAATCTTCTTATGATAATTATTATATATTAGAGAGACTCTCAATATTTGTTAAACAAATGTTCACTTAAGTTCAAAAAAAATATACATATCTACATGATATAATGCCTATATATTTACTTATTTATTTATTCGTATAATCTAGCTGAAAAAAAACGGATATTCTGTGCACGTAATTGATTGATTTATGGTCGGTATACAATATTGTAGACTTCGTAATTCAAGTTTACTCTTTTGCGTTTGCTGGAGGACAAAAATAATGAACTGATAAATATATTTCGCTATGAAAAACAGTGCTTAAAATTTTAAAATAGTTCTGAATAAAAAATAATCGAACTTAAATAGAAATCGAATGAGTTATAAGCTACCCTCGGCTTTTGTGAGCTTGACGAATCGAACAAACAACTCGCATAAAGAATGGAGAAAAGCATTAGAAAGACATGGCAACGGTTTGTTGAAGTATGCGCATATTCTCTCGTATTGAATTTAGAAATAGAAAGCTCTGTTGTTGCTTGATACATGCATTTTTCGACAAGAAAGCATAACTCATATGTATATGTACAATGAATTTATATTCAACAACTGAGCATGGAATGATGCATCGAATGGTGGCTATAATAATGATACAACTTTATAACTATAGAACGATATAATTTAATGCAAATTTAATTAAATTAATATAAGTTGATATTAATATTAAGATTTAAAAATTGTCTTGACGTCGTTGAAAATATTAAAAACATGATTTATGTTTTTTCAAAGACTGGTTTAAGAGACGAATGTCAACTAACTGCAATTTACGCTTTAGTGTGAACATAGCTGTACTACAAATCGCATTTGTATTGGTAGATGTTCATGTGTAAGAATTTTTTAAAGCGAAACCACTGCATTTATGGCATTCCATTACTGCTGATTACGATAACGCTCAACGTGAGTGTTTTTAGTTATTATAAAGCCTTGTTGAAGAGCTTGCGGATTTGGCAGACGAAATGTGGATATATTCGTTGCAGTGCTCGTATAAGTAACTGCATACAATTATAAATACATATTCATATAAGTTTGTATTGTATAATATATAAATACTGATTCAAGAGCATGCGATTATAACGGCGTAGAATTGTATAATTGTGCTTACAACAAAACAATTTTTTCATAAACGTTTATCGAATATATGTGAATAAGTATTTGCAAAGTATTTTTCAAACAGTAAATTACTTGCTTACATATCTACACATGCTTTATAAATATTTTAAATGTGATAATGTCACTTTGCTTTTGTTTTTTTGCTTTGTCCGATCAATTTTATACAATTCGATTATGTGATAATATTTATAAGCCTTTTGTATTACTTTCAGCTACAGCTACCCATCTCTGGTTGTATTCATTACGTTTTGGGTTACGCTTGCGCTTCTATAACATTTTCAATTTCTTTTCCAAAGCCAACTTTGTATATTTTACTGCTTGCTTTATTATGTTCATTATTTGTCCTGAGAACAGGGAGCATAATATTTTTGTTAATGAGCTGTTAGATTTTTTATTGGTCTACAGTGTTGTTTAACTATATAGTAATTGTATTTTTAATGTTGTGAGAAGTGAGTTTTGCTTTGGTTGAAATGGTTGTTAAGATGAACTGTTAAATTTTTATTAATGTTGTCTATAAAAAAAGTAGATAAAATAGGTGACGAGCACAAGTGATACTTAATGTTAAGCTTGGAAAATTGCTCAGGAGACGCAATTGGCTTTTACATGGAAATAATTTTTGAAAAGACAACAATTTCAAATTTGTATTGTTAAACTCTGAGGTTTGATAGACTTCTGCTAGCCTATTTTTAACATAGGTAGATGTCCTTATTGGGATCTAGTGAAAAGTTTTAAATCAACAGATAAGTAAATTGCCCGGATCTCTCACTTACATTTGAGCACTTCCTTCAGAAAAACAATCAAATATCAGTCGGTTCGAATCATTGTCAGTTATTTTACAGGAAAAAATCCATCCAATTTTTCC